GGCGAGAACTGACAGAACCCACTCCTGAAAGGTGTCTCAGATGCACAAGCTTTGTCTGTGCCCTGCTAGGGCTGGGCATGGTGTCTCATACCTGGGCAAAAGCAGGGGAACTCAACCCACGTTCAAGGCCAGCCTGGTTTACATCGTGAGACTCAAGAAGACAAAGGAAGGGAGCGACACAGAGGTGGGAGAGGAGAGTGGGACTCAGTCAGCTTCAGCACCCTGTGCCCCGCTGCAGAAGCAATCCATAAACGCTGACGGAGGGGGGGGGGCGGAGAGGAAAGAGGACAGGGAGACCATGCAGCGCAAGCCGGGAATTAATTTCCTCCTGGATATTAAAGATGCTATCAGGCAGGAGGAAGCCTGCCTTGGCAGCCGGCGCTGGGATGGGCTGCTGCAGACCGGGCTCTTATCTCCCGGCGCATCTACACACCAGTTCTGCGAACGCAATAAAGCCAGTGCCGGCACCGTTCTAGGTCTCCTTCCACCCCTCCACAGCCCAGCCGAGAAAGGCAAACAGAGCAGATCCCACGCTCCTGCCCAGCCCAGAACATCCGCTTCATCTGACTTTGCCCAAAAAGTCACACTGTAGCGCCTTGCTACAGTTACCTAGGTTCTAACTTCTAAGGTTCTTACACACACACACACACACACACACACACACACACACACACACACACACACACACATTCTTATTTTTAGGCCTCACCCGAGCTCCTTAGGTAGCCCTGAGTTTCATCCCCAGCATTACTGAATCATCTGTAGTGGCTCACTCAGGATTTGGGAGCCTGAGGCAGAGGATTGCTGAGACTTCAAAGCCAGCCTGACTACATTGTGAGCTCCAGGCCTTCCTAAGTTACAAAGTGAGACCTTGCCAAAAAGAAAAGAAAAAAAGAAAAAGGAAGCATCTATAAGTCCCCGTACCCACCCTACCTCACCCAGGTCCCTTCTCTCAGCTCAGAGGCAATGGCTCCCTGGAAGTATACTTAACTCTCTTGTCTGTTTTCTCTCTCTCTCTCTCTCTCTCTCTCTCTCTCTCTCTCTCTCTCTCTCTCTCTTAATTTGAGCACATATTTGGGGAAAATAAAAGGAATACCACTATGGAAAGCGGCACTGAAGGACCCTTTCAAGCCAGACTCTTCAGACACATAACTATAATCTTAGCACCAGAGACTGAGACAGGAAGATTGCAAGGTCTGGGACATCTTAGGGCTACCTAGGGGGATGGCCTGTATGGAGAAAGAGAGGGGAGAGAGGAGGAGAAAAAGGGATAGAGGGATGGAGGATTGGGAGGGGGTAGATGGTGGGAATGGGGACCAGGGAAGGAGGAGGCTTTCTAAATAAACTCAGGCTGCCATTAAGGGCTCAGGATTTAGGCACATCTCAGGCGTCTGCTTAAGAACGTGAACCCCGCCTTCCGACTGCAGGCCTCTAAGACATTCAGATAATTACAGAGTGCCCAGAGATTCCAGATGTTTATCAGGAGGCAGCTGGACTCCTGCTTCAGGGCCAGGGCCATTGGTTCTGTGGGTCAGGAGGTCGGTGTCAAACAATTTCTGCACTCTTCCTCCGCTGCAGGAGTGGTTTCTCTTAATACTTGCTAATTTACCTGTCTGTTCATCTTCTGCCCTGCTATTTTTAAGATAGAATCTCACTTTGTAGCCTAGAACCTTTGACCTTGAACTCAAAGTGACCCTCCTGCTAAGTGCTGAGAAGATAAACGATTTCAGTTATGGCTACAATTTGGCTGAGTGTACCTCAAATGTTTATGTGTCACTGACTTGATCTAGAGGGTGGCATTGCTGGGAAGTGGCGACACTTTAGGAGGTGAGGCCTAGGGAAGGTCTCTAGTCACTGGGGACAAGCCCTTGCGGAAACCAGGCGGCCCCAGCCTCAGTCTGTCTCCTGCTGCCTGGATTCGGAGCACTTCATCCTGCCCATAGGCTCCCGCCGAGCTTCCTCAGTCATCACCTGACGCTAAGAGGGATGGAGCTACCTGATGCTGGGGCGGGACTCCATAACGCCTGTCAAAGTGACCTCTCTAGTTAGTTAGGCTGTGTGTGTGTGTGTGTGCGTGCATTCGTGGGGTCAGAGGAGGGTACTGAGTGTCCTCTATTGTGGGTCACCTGTTTCTTTGAACCAGTCTCTCCCTGAACTTGGCGCTCACGTTTTCTCATCTAAACTGGAAGCCAGCAAAGACCAGTGTCCTCCTGCCTCTGCCTTCCATGAAACTGGATTGCAAGCAGTGGTAGAAACATCTAGCTCCTTACAAAGGCTCTGGGATCCAAACTAAGGGTCTCGTGATTACAATGCAGCCTCATGTCCTTCACTGCTAGGCTGGGTTTTTTGTTTTGTTTTGTGTGTGTGTGTGTGTGTGTGTGTGTGTGTGTGTGTGTGTGTGTTTGGAGACCTTCTTTCTATGTAGTCCAGGCTAGCCTCCATTCCCAATGTCGCAGTTGCTGCATTACGCTAACAGGAAGCTGACTAATACGATGATCTTGTAATGGGTGAAGGCATTTTTCTCACCACGAGCCTCACTTTCCCTACCTGCTTTGGAGCACTAACTCAGAGCCTACCTAAACCTATGTCTCCCAAATTGCAGTTCCCAAGACTCCCAAATAACGCTCCTTTATGTTTGCACTTTCCAAGCTTAAATTGATGTTTTTGTTTGTCTCAAATCACAAAACAAAATACTGTTTAGCTTTACACATCTCTGAACTTTCCATAAATGTTGTTCTGTCTTTAGACAGGTTCTCCCTATGTAGCCCAGGCTATACTCCAACGCTCCCATGCAAGCATTGACCAGACTGGACTGATTAGCTTCCGAGATGAGACCTAGACTGCCCTCAGATGCCATCTCGGACCCAGCCTGCTGAGTTGGGGATCATAGGGGATCATCACCCCGGCTCTAGGGTTTATCGAGGGAGGTTTGGCTTTGTCACAAGGGGTGAAATTTGATTGTATCAGTCAATACAGTTGAGTCTGTGATCTCAACGGAAGTGTTTTCTGCTGTCAGGCTGTCCCAACCCTCAACACTTTAGCCAACTCTGGTTTTTACAGCCTTTTCTTCCCATTCAGTTTTTTTGGGGGGGGATGGGGGGAGAGAAAAGGCTTTCTTTTAAGGTTTATTTTTATGTATATGTGAGTGTACAGGTGCCTCTGGAGGCCAGAAGAGGACTTTGGCTCTCCTGGATCTGGACTTACAGGCAGTTGTGAGGCACCTGATAGGGGTCCTGGGACCTGAACTAGAGTCCCCTGGCAAAGCAGCAAGTGTTAGTGACTTCTGAGCCCTCTCTCTAGTCCCGTGAGGCAGAGGGCCTTTTTTGAGACAATATTTCACATTGCACCACAGGCTGGTCTTGAACTTGAAGCAATCCTGTGTCCTGAGTACACTCGGCTTAGGGATGGGAGCCACCATACCTCCCTCCCTCCCGTCTCCCCCTCCCGCTCCCCGTGGAATCTCACTATGTCGCCCGGTTAGTATTTCACTTCCAATTATCTTTGCTTCTCTTGCTTAGGTCTCTGAAGTAGCTGGAACCACAGCTGTGGGCCACATGCCTGCCAATCTTAAATTTTTTTTTTCTTTCTTTTCTTTCTTAGCTGTACGGTAGTATCTGGTGGCTTAAAATGGACGTTCAGGGGCCATCAAGATGGCTGAGTGGGTAAGGCCCTCGCTGGCAAGCCTGACAACCTGAGTTGGATCCTGGGACCCACAGTGTGGGAGGGAGGGGAGAACCAGTTCCTGAAACTCGTCTTCTGTCCTTGCTGAGTGAGCCGTGACGGTACGTGAACACACAGACACACACCTACGTCGCACTTCTCAGACTCCTAAAGGTTTGGGGGTGTGGCGCTAAGCTTATTGGTCGGTTCCATTTCTTCTCTCGCGGAGTGCCTAGTCACGGCAGTGCCAGCCTTGTTGATGTAGGTTTGTTTGCTCTTGTTTATTTTTGCTTATTTGGTTTTGGTTTGTGGTTTTTGAGACAAATTCACACACACACACACACACACACACACACCCCAGTTTCCTTCCTGTTGACAAACACAACTTAGGGTACAAAGATTCTAGCTCAACAGTTCACCAAGGCGGGGTGTCAAGTCTGCCTGCCTTGTGTGGGGTCAAACTCATTGAACCACTGGGCCGACTTAGCTCCCTGTAGGAGTTCTTTATAGGTTTTCCCCTCCCAGTACTGGGGGTTAGCTCTAAACACGGATGTGCTTTATTTCTCTGGCTAAATCGTTGGGGTGAGAGAGCTGGTCCCAAGCAGGAAGGGGCGATATAAATAAATCAGACCAGTTAGGTAAGAAGTGCAGGTTTCCAGGCCGTGGGCGAGGGTGTTCCAGGGTGGTTTGCTCTGCTTTGCTTTTTAGGGAACCAATCACAACGTGTCAATTGAAGAATGTTGAACTGTCAGCTTCTGGTGCATCTAGATGAGGGCGTGGAACAGCTGGCTGTGAACTCGCCGCCCTCCCTAGGGTATCAGGTTCAGGGATCGATGTTTCCCTGCCCCAGGTGCTACCCTGTGATTTGCGCGTGCTCCCGAGGCTCCCCGCAGGAGGACCGGATTCCGCGCCTAAAGGACTGGCGGGCTGGCATCCAGTCAAGCGTTGCAGGTGCTTCGCAGATTTAATGTGCCAGGCCGAAGGCGTTGCAAGGACCCTCAGCCACACTGAAAATGCCAGTGCCCAGCACGCGGGACGGCGCAGGGACCTGACACTGACACTCCCGTCTAGCCTAGCCTCGTGCACTTAAAGTTCTCCAGGGACGCGTCCTGGTGAAGGCACGCAGTCCCCACGTCCCTTTGGCTGCAGCCAGGTCCACAGCGCAGTTTTCGCCCTGCAACGCTGTAGAGTCAGGCGGGAAGGAACAGGACTTTGGAGCCTGGGCGTGGAGGTGTTGCAGGAAGAGGGCAAAGGGGCGAAAGGAGCCCTGACGGCCACGGCCACATCTGCTAGTGGAGTCCGCAGGGACACGCCCGCCTCCTGGTCTCCGGGGCGGCGGGACCGCGGCGCGCGCTCCTGATTGGCCCGCGCGGTGGCCGCACCGCCGCCAAGCGCCGTCAGCAGACGGAGAGTAACGGGACTGTGGTCGCGGGCCGCCCCAGCCACGCACCATGCCCTACCTGCTCATCAGCACCCAGATCCGCATGGTGAGTACCTGGTATGGGTGACTGCGACAACCGCTCTGCGGGATTTCCCTGATGGTCCCCGCAACCCGCCCGCCACACCCCCGCGGCGCGGACACCGAGCAGGGTCAGGCGGCCGGGTGGGCGGGGAGCTCCGCGGGGACACACACGACCCGCTTCGCAAGTGGGGCAGCCAGGGCCCGCACGAAGGCTGAGACCAAGCTGAGCTGCACGCACAGTGGCCCCACCTGTAGCTTCTTCAAGGAGGGGTTAATCCTGATGCACTGAGAACTGGGGCTTGAGAGGAAGGAGAGGCTGCAAGCAGCCTGGGGAGAGCACCACGCGGGAATCTGAGGTCACCCTTCTCTAGGTGCAGTCATATCAGCTGGGGGGGGGGGGGGGGGGGGGGGGGGGGGGGGGGGGGGGACAGGAGACGTAGTGTACTGGATGCTTCGGAAGCCCCTTTGTAACTTTCAGAAGATACACGACGCCCCACCCCCACCCCGGCTGAACAGCAGGGCGCGCTCTCATCCTCTTCCAGCGTTCCAGCAGTGGGTGCAGACCCAACTCCCGCAGGATGAAGCAGGAAGCGTGGGCTTCATGACGGGGCAGGAGAGGTCTGGACGGTGCTCAGGGCAGAGGTCTGAGAACCCGTACAGTTGTTAAAATACGGATTGCTGGGCACTTTCCTCCGCCCTTCAGAAACTCTGGAGAATGTGGGAATCCAAGCTTGGAAATGTCTCCCTCAAATAATAATTATTCTTTTAATTCTTTTCTTTTCTTTTTTTCACGTAGCCCAGGCTGGCCTCAAATTTGCTATGTGTTAGGGGCTGACCTTGTTTTTCCGAGTACTGGGGGGCATGTCCACTAGGCTTGGCTGTCTTATAGTTTTACTGATATGCAATGCAACCAAAATATTCACTGGTAGAAAGCATACGGTTTAATGTCTGTGAGGGGTTTGGGTTTTAGTACATCCAGAGCTGGGTACCATCACTAGAATCAATTTAATATGAATCTATGAGCTCCAGCTGCTAACTTTATGCTTGCCTGTGTGTTCTTTTGGGCCTGGCTGCTTTCCTGTCCATGTTTTCAAAGTCTGTTCATATTGTTATATTCCTGCCGAAGAAGATTCTGTAGGAAGGCTACACCACTGTTTCCCACCTTGCAGCTATAGCCCAGGCTGGCCTCGAAGCTAGCCCACTGCCTTTTTTCCTACTAGAACTACAGGCTTGCTTTTTTTTTTTTTTTTTTGAGACAGGGTTTCTCTGTGATGGCTCTGGCTGGCCTCAAGCTCACAGAGATCCACCTGCCTCTGCCTTCAGAGTGCTGGGATTAAAGGTGTGCACCACCACAACCTGGCTAAGCCTTGCCACATTTTACTCCTGTGCTCCTCCACTGACCAGCACTGCAAGGCTGTTTCCGGCTTTTGGCTGTTATGGGTAGTTCTGCCAGCAGCATATATAGGTTTTTGTCATTTTTGTTCTGTTTTTCATTTTGGTGGCAGTTGTAAATTGTGAAGTTTACATGCCTGTGTGTAAATTTTCATGTGTGTGTGTTTTTATTTCTTTGATTCTCCAGGTGATGTCAATACACAGGAAACATGGTTGGTGGCGTCTGGCCTGAAAGTGCCGGCAGGCAGAGTTTAGGAAGCCAGGGAGGACCCACCCTGCTCCCCTCTTAGCTTGTGCTCCTCCTCCACACCTTCAGCGCTGTTCCCCTTTACCTGCCCCCTTCTGCCCAGCAGCCAGCTAAGCAGCTCCTGTGGCTTCCCTTGCAGGAGGTGGGCCCCACCATGGTGGGCGATGAACATTCGGATCCGGAGCTGATGCAGCACCTGGGGGCCACGAAGAGACGTGTCCTGGGAAACAACTTGTGAGTAGTGGCGTCCTTCAGCGCCTTCTTTCTCCCTGGCAGTGCCTCCTCCTGCCTCCCCCTTTACACAACCAACACACCATTGCACAACAGCGTGCATTCATCTGTAACCCCCCACAGGGAGGGTTTCCCACAAGCCCCCAGTCTTCCTTCACAAGGCAGCTCATCTTTAGTGCAAGTCTGTGGAAGCACAGCCTGTCCTGAGTCTGGGGCTCTGGAAATGAACTGTCCCTTTCCGTGTCCTCTCTGCTCTAAACTGGATCCCATCAGCAAAGACAATAGGGCTAGCTGAGTAACAGGGTCCAGTCCCAGAAACAGCAGGACACCTGGGGCCTCTATCCAGCTCTTGGCTGCCCCTCATTTGGCCATTTCCTGCAGCGTATTTTACAGCATCCCTGCCTGAACGCCACTGCTTCCCTTTCTGATTCCTTGCCCTGTGTTAGTGTCTATTCCCATAGACACCATGACCAAGGAAGCATTTAATAGGGGACTTGCTTACAGTTTTAGAGGGTTAGTCCATGATCATGGTGGGGAGCGTGGCAGCATGCAGGCAGGTGCTGGAGCAGTAGCTGGGAGCTTTGCATCCTGATTTGCAGGTGCAGAGAGAGAGACTGGGCCTGGCATGGGCTTTGGAAATGTCAAAGCCCACACCCAGGGACAGACTTCCTCCAAAGCCACACCTTCCAATCCTTCTAATCCTTCTCAAGCAGTTCTACTTCCTGGTAACCAAGCATTCAAATAAATGAGCCTTTGAGGGCTCCTTTCATTCAAGCCACCACAGCAACTTACGAGAGGAAGCATTTAATTGGGGACTTGCATTGAGTGAGTGAACCCACAACCAAAATGGCAAGGAGCATGGCAGCAGGCAGACAGGAGCAGTAGCTGACCCATCTGACCCACGAGCAGAAGGCAGAGAGACACGAGTCCTGAATGGCCTCCTCCAGTGGCCCACCTCCTCCAAGACCAGTTTCCAATGCTTCCCAAAGCAGGCCCACCAGCTGGAGACCAAACATTCGATGATACAAGCCTTTGGGGGCCATTCTCATTCAAACCAGCACAGCCTCCCTATTATAAACCCAAGCAGGTTCAGGGATCCTCAGAAGAATTGCCAGAGTCCCAAGTGCAAGGAGGGGGAGACAGATCCCAGCCCTTGCCATGGGGCATTTGCTTCAAATGGCAAGTTTGGGGTTCGGGGCCCGTATCTGCTTCATGTTCTCTACAACTCAAGGGAAATCAAACTTTCTGTGCCAGAAAAGGGCACATGGATCCAGGTGCTAACCTTATTTGTTCTTCAGGGTTGCAAGACAGCTAGAGAAAAGGCCCGAGCCCTGAGAAGGGGAGACTGCCTAGTGGGGTGCTCAGACTAACACACACAGCAGCCGTAAGGCTACCGTGGGGTCTGCTATTCACGGCAGCCAGAGCTAACCAGCCTGTTTTCTCACGTATCAGCACAACAGCGATGGCGCCTTCATCAGACGGGGAGAATAAAGCAAAGTGTGTAGCTCGGGACAGAACAGAGGGTGTGCACTTAGCCTCTCGCCAGGCAAGGGCCCGGCAAACAGGCCTGGCTCTGGCCGGGTGCCTGCTCCGCTTCTCCTCACCTCACTCTCCTGGTTTCTTCACAGCTATGAATACTATGTCAACGACCCTCCTCGCATAGTCCTGGACAAGCTGGAACTCAGGGGCTTCCGTGTGTTGAGCATGACAGGGGTGGGCCAGACGCTGGTGTGGTGCCTGTACAAGGAATGACCTGTGGACAGAGCACCTATTCTTCGGAGGGCCTGACTTGTGCCCTGAGCCCCAATCCTTGCAACATTGTCTTCCCTGCCTCTTTCTAAACTGTCAGGTTCCTTGCCCAACCCTGATGGCTGCGCAGCCTAAGGAGCCTTGCTCCAGTTCCTCGGGCACAGCAGGCCTTGCCCTGGTCTTGTCAGCTCCCCCAGCTAGGGACCTCTTGCTCTAGGCCATGTGCTGAAGGAGGCTACCCAGAGGACACTCCCTGGATCCTGCACAGCTAGTCCAAGCCAATAAAAGGCTCTCATGAGTGGATGTTCCTTAGCTTTGTTGTGCAGTGACTCTTGAAATGCAACATTCTTTACTGGTCTGTCCCTTGACCTGAGTGGAGCCCTCTCAGATAAAGTCCAGCTCATGACAAAGAAAAGTAGACTGTTTTATATATATTAAAAAAAGTTTATTAGTGATGATGCACAAAAGTGTGTGGGGTGGGAGAGCTGGAGCCGGGGCTACGTGGGCTGCCCCTCATCTTCCTGCTGCATCTGCGCAATCAGCTGCTGGCGCTCAGCTGCCTGGCGCATGCGCATCATGACAAGACTCTCATAGTCCCTTTCTGACCGCACTGAGCCCTGGGAACAGAAGGGACAAAAAAGTCAGGCTAGCAGGCACGGCCCCACAGATTCCAGATTCAGTATCAGGCCTGGGCCTAGACAGAACCAAGTTAAAAGCTGAAGAGGAAGAAGGGGCGGAGGAAGGACCCAGACATCTTGGATCCCGACTCCTCCAGGAGCCTAGAGAGCAGACCTGTGCTCCCCAGGCTGCTTCTCCATTAGCTCCTCATCCGCTCATCTCTAAGCTCCCCTGGCCTCCCTGCCCCAGGATGTCACATCTTTCTCCATCCTGCTCTGGTCCAGGCCTCAGCCCTGTGTCTGCCTCTCCTTCCCTCTGCCCATGGCTTCTGCCTGGCAGGTTTCCTACAGAAGAGGAATCTGAGGTCCACTGGACACAGCAGCGCTCTTCCCCTGTGGTCTGGCCTGCTGAGGACACAAAAGAAGGCCTTGCCCTCTCCACAAGCATGAGCCCAGCTTGCCTCGTAAAGACAAGACCAGGCTACTCTAGGTAGGGTCCTTGGCTTTCTTTTATGATCTTGCTAGCCATGCAGGGGACTGAGGAGGGGTTCACTTTGATAACCCAAGAACAACAGCCAGCCAGCCACAGGCCAAAGCTGTGGAAGGGAAGCAGCCTGACAGCAGAGCACTGTGCGGCCAAGCCTGTCAGGCCAGCGGTATCAATCAGACCGTTTCCTCCCTTGGCACCGCTGGAGCTGTGACACCACTTATGATTCTACAGCAGACAGAGGGGTGGGAAACCCACCAGCGATGGCACAGAGCCAGGCCAGGACAGCAGTACCAAGTGTGGTGGCCCAACTGTAACAAAGAGTTGTGGGGTCCTACGGGGGGAGGGGGGAGGACACGCTGGTGCGCTCCCACAGTAGAAGGCTTGGAAGTCAGTGACCCAGGGAATAACATGGGAGTGGCTGAAGTTGGGCCGCCAGGCTCTGGCTAACTTGTTTGGAGTCGGGGTACAGATAAACAGGAAGTGACACTCAATCTGGTCCCCCTGTCTTTATACCTCCCCCACCCCTAGAAATAACCTCTTCTCAGCCACCCTCCCCCCAACCACTGGCAATTCAGGGCAGCTTCACACGTACTGGCGCCCTCTACAAGAGGGTCCCCAAATAAGGCCCACGAGCCAGAGGGAGAGGACTGGAGCAGCAGAGCAGCAGCCGGCCGGGCACTGGCCTTCTGGGTGCCGAGAGTAAAAGCTGAGATGCCATACTGATGTCCCGGCTGTGGGGAGGGCGCCACTCCTTCCCCAGGTTCATACTGCTCTACCAAGAAAACTTCAAGTCACCCCTGGCATGCCCCCAGAACCCTGGGAGGAGTAAGCCTTTACAGGCATGGGGCTGGTCCCGGTTAACACACCCTCCACATCCTTCCCCACCATTCCTGTGGCCTGCCTAATGAGGGCCTGTCAACCAGCCCAAGGGCTGAGTCACCCACACCGGCAGGTCTCCTCTCTTCCTTCTCCAACAACTGTTCCAAAAATTGCCTTTCAATTAGCACTACCTCCCTGGGTTCTTCCCAGAGCCAGCTGGGGCTAGGGAGCCAGGCAGGCCTGCTGGGGTCACGGTGGCGGCAGAGCTTTGACTGGACAGGAAGTCACCTGGTGACACACCAGGCAGGGCTGTCCCCAGACCACTCCCCAGAGGAATCTGAAGCGTCCTACTGCCCTGGGGTGTTGGTCACAGCTGCCCCAGTCCCAGCCTGCGGATGCTGCAATTACCTCAGAGCATGAAACCAGCTTCCCACCTGACTGAGTCAGCTGAAAACAAAACACATCTCTACCACATGCTGGCACAAACAGTCACGCCACTAATCAGAGTCCCCAGATGCTGGCAGAGAGAGCACAGCCCCACACTGGCCGGGAGGATCGGCACATGCCACCAACTACCAGAGAGAGGGTGCCGCCGCCTGAAGAAGTGCACGACCCCTCCGGAGGGCCCGCCCTGCCCACCAGGCCCTCCTCCTGCTCTGTAAGTACCGCTGCTTCCTTTGTTTTTTTTTTCTACATGCCCGTCAAGTAACCAGGCCACTCTTATCTAGGCGGGGACTCCCAGCACTCTGATCTCCCGGACAAACTCTCCCTCCTGCTAGTCTTGTCTCACCATCCAAGATGCAACAAGACAAAGGGCCACACCGAGCAGAGGCGCGCAGCCTCTGCTCCTAACCCTTAGGGGTGTCTCCAGTCCGCTGGCAAATGGTCACAAGCTGCTGCTGAGCCCCTCTGTGGGGTTTCTCAGCCCGGACCCATTGGCTGACTTAGGAGCTCCATGGAGACCTGGCGGAAAGGCTCCTTCCGCAATGCCTCCTTCTTCAAGAGAATGACCCTGGGGCGGCCGCGGCGACTGCGGAGACAGGGCAGCACACTCAGCCAGGCCAGCGCTGCTGGCGGGGACCACGAGGAGTACAGCAACAGAGAAGTCATCCGGGAACTTCGAGGGAGGCCAGACGGCCGGCGTCTGCCCTTGTGGGGGGATGAGCACCCCCGAGCCACTCTGCTGGCCCCACCCAAGCCCCCACGTCTCTACCGAGAGAGCTCCAGTTGCCCCAATATTCTGGAGCCCCCAGCAACCTACACTGCGGCCTACTCGGCCACCCTGCCTTCAGCCATCTCCCTGACAGGCCCTCTCCACCAGTGCTCACAAGAGGACCTTTTGGATGCTCCCCATTTCCCGAGGACACCTACTCCGGACCTCAATGACCCTTTCTTTTCCTTCAAAGTGGACCTGGGGATTTCACTTCTGGAGGAAGTTCTTCAGATGCTGAAAGAGCAGTTTCCTAGTGAGCCCCACTTCTGACCCCGGTGAGGGCAGAGAGAACTGGGGTGACTGGAGCCTGGGAGACCTAGGCAGGTAAAGTGTGGATTATGGAGCAGGTGGAGACATAAGCCACAGTGTAGCCGGCCCCGACTGCTGAGCAATCCTCAAGGTACCCAGAGTGAAGGACAGAAGCCAGCTGGGAAAGTATGGGGGTCACTCTCTGGCAGGAGCCCTGAAGGAAACTGGAAAGGTCAGGAAAAGGAAGCCACACCTGCAACCACAGGAACTGGTCAGAGGTCAGGGGAGTGACAGGGTGGCACAGGGCGAGTCAGGAAGTAGGACTCAGACCAGCCTCTAGAACCACTGTCAACAGAGAAATCATAGGCTACATCTAGGAAGAAGCCTCTAACTTAGATTAAGAGGAAGGCCGGAGAGAGCAGAGGTAGAAAAGCCACCGCTCACTTCCTATGCTTGTTTAATTGAAGTAAAAGCAAACCGAAAGTTCGGTTCCAGAGGCTGGAGAAATGGCTCAGTGGATAAAGAGTTTGTATGCAGGCAGGAAGGCCTGAGTTCAGACCTCCAGTACCTACATGAAAAAAGCCGGGCAGGTGTGACAGCCTGCCTGGAATTCCCGCGTTCAGGATGCAGGCACCAGGAGTCCCAAGGGGCAGGCTGGCTAAACTAGTCAGGCCCACGCACACACATGCACACACACACACACACACACACACTCAAACATACACTATACAGACACACAAATCAGTTCCTTTTCACCTTAGCCAAGTTTGCTTGTTTTTGAGACAAGGTCTCTTACGTAGTACGGGTGGCCTTAAGCTGATTTGATGCTCCTGGGACTGCAGGCATGTGCCACCACACCCAGTTGTTTAGGCCGCACTGGGACCCAAACCCAGAGCTTCACGCATGCTAAGCAAGTACTCTACCAAAACGAGCCACATGCCAGCCCTCTAGACACATTTTAAAGATGTTTTTAAAAATTATTTTTAATTGTGTTTGTGTGTTTGTGTGCATGCACACAAGTGTACGCAGGTGCCTGAGAGGCCAAAGGTGTGAGATGCCCTTGGAGCCAGAGTTACAGGCAGTTGTGAGCCACTTGATATGGTTGCTAGGAATTGAATTCGGGTCCTCCGGAAGAATAGTGTCTGTTCTTAATTGATAAGCTATCTTTCCAGCCCACCTAGCCATATTTTAAAGCAACAGCACCTGATTCATGGCTACCAGACAGTATGACATTGTTAGACCGAAGTCCACCGGATGGTGCTGGCCAGACACTAGTGCGGAAACAGCAGAAGCTTGGCTAAGGAAAGGAAGATGCCACCCCGGGGCGCAGATGAGGACGGGCTGACAGCAGGAGAGGAGGAGAGGCAGGTGGAGGAAAAGGCAGGGGAAGGCCAACAATCATTACCAAACAGAGCCTGAGACTCAAGCTGCTCACAGATCCTAAGCAATCCTGTGAGGAGTGTTCTGGGAACTCCTACAGTGTTATGTATGGGGGCCTCTGGGAAAGCCTTCCTTCCCAGCAGAGGGATGACTTGATCAGGGAAAGAACAATGCACCAAGCGGCTCCAGAATCCTCCACCAGGCGGGGAGTTCCACCTTGCCCCAAAGAGGCCAAGGCTGCACCTGTTGTTACTACCCCAGTCTGTGGCTCAGCCACATCTGAATCCAGAACTCAGAAGTGCTGGACACATGGGTCTGGCCCCCAGGCTACTCCGAATGTGAAAGAAGGGTGGAGGGAAGGCTGACACACCCTGTGACGTCTCTCTCCTGCGCCTGTGCGGAGATGCCCAGCTGAGGGCTCTGGATACAGAGGCAGTGAATAAAGGTTTTCTAATGCAGCCTACAGAGAGTGACCTAGATGTGGAAGGCTGAAACTGAATGGTGGAGGAGCAAGGCTTCTTTTAAGTCAAGATCCTGAGCTGGCCTAGACCACTTCATGTCCCTCCTCTACCCAGGGTCTGGGACACTGTGGTGCGGATGAGAATGGCCCCAAAGACTCATGTGTTTGAATGCTTGGTGCCCAGTTGGTGGAACTGTTTGGGGAGAATTAGCAGGTGTGGTCTTCTTGGAGGGGGGGTGTCCTGGGGGTGGGCTTTGAGGTTTCAAAAGCCGTGCCATTCCCAGTTAGCTCTCTCTCTGCTTGTGGTCGTTACCTTAGCATATAAGCTTGCAGCTACTGCTCCAGCATCCTGCCTACTGCCGTACCTACCCTAATGGCCATGGGCGCTATAACCTCTGGAGCCATGAGACCCCCACTTAAATGCTTTCCTTTATAAGTTGCCTTGGTTATGGTGACAAAACTGTCATGGCAGTAGAAAAGTAACTAAGACAGGCACACTCCCCAGAACTCCCAACCTCTCAGGCAGGGACAGGCACAGGTAGCCAGACAGAAACCCTGATAACTCTGGGAGGCTGTGGACATGCCAATAGGTACCCAGGCTGTTTCAGAGAAGAGAAAGCCAGGAGCTTCCCGCCCCCAAAGCACTTATCTCTCCAGCAAAAGTGACCAGGAGTCAATGCCCCAACCTCTGCAGTCAGGCTGAAAAACTGGGCCATCAAAGATAGAGTGAACACTAGCCTCTGTGGAGTCGGGAGGACCGAGACAGTGAGCACTAGCCTCTGTGGAGTCGGGAGGACTCAGAGGCAGCTAGAAGGAGCACAACTGGCCAAAAGCAGAGCAGCAGATACAGCACTGCAGGTTCAACACAGGGTGGGATGCTCTCTCTAGAGGAGATGAGCTCATAGTGTCTGTTCTAGTCACCTGCCTGCTGGCCTCTTCATCAAACACAGGATTGTCTGACCTCCAAATCCAACGAGAGCTCCAACAGGAGACACGCATGGGCCAACTTTTTTCTTTTCTTTTTCTCTTTTCTTTTTGCTTTTTGAGGACAGGGACTCTCTGTGTAGCCCTGGCTATTCTAGAGCTCACTCTGTAGACCACACTGGCCCTGAACTCAGAGATGCACCTGCCTCCCCTCCTGAGGGCTGGGACTAAAGGTGTGTGCCACCATGTCTGGCATGGGCCGACTTTTGTGTCACTCTGGACGTGTACTTCAGTGGTAGCATGGGGGTTAATTATGAGCAGGACCCTGGGTTTGATACATTGCCAGAAAAAAAAAATAAAAATAGAAAAGAAAAAAACACCAGGTTGTGGTGCATGCCTTTAATCTCAGCATTGGGAGGCAGGGTCAAGTGGATCTCTGAGTTTGATGCCAGCCTGATCTACAGAATGAGTTCCAGGACAGCCAGAGCTACACAGAGAAACCCTGTCTCCAAAAAACAAAAAACAAAAAAAACAAAAAAAAACAAAAAAAAAAAGGAAGGAAGGGAAAAAAGGAAGGAAGGGGGAAAAGGAAGGGAAAAAAGGAAGGAAGGAAGGAAGGAAGGAAGGAACGAAGGAACGAAGGAACGAAGGAACGAAGGAAGGAAAGAAAGTAGGTAGAAGAAATAGGGTCCTCTGGTACTGTTAAGTTGGGAGCATAACCCCTGCCCCTGGCATCCATCCCAGCCCCCTGGCCTGGGAGTTGCATTGGTCAGGACTCCAAATCCCAACATGCCAGGCTCTGACCCCTTCCTGGGGGAGAGGTCAGGACCATTCTCACAGGGTACTTAGTGGGCTCCCAGAGGAGAAACACGTTGTTTAGGGTTTGCATGTGCTCCCCACTTTCCTGTTTCCCCACCATGCGCTCAGCCACCTGAGAACACCGTATTTAATAAAACGATGGGCATTTTAATTTGGTTTGATCTGACCTAATTGGATTTCTCTTCGCCGGCAGAGCCGCCCCCCCTTAGGATTTATTCCTAACAGGTACCTCATAGAGAACAGGGATGAGCAGAGAGTCAGCCTCTTGGACTGACTGAACCCACCCACTGCATTTTACTCTGATCTGGACTTGGGAACAAAGGGCCTGAGAAAGTAGAAGCTGAAAGGATCCCAGACCCCAAGCAGACCCAGGGTGACTTCTGGCTTTTTACCTTTGATAATCCAGCGTCACTGTGATCCACTGTGCCCTGGGGCTGTCCCTCCAACCAGGAAATCTTCAGAGGGTTGTCCACCAGGCCCACTTCATTTCTGACAGCCAGCTCCTGCCAAACAGAGTCTCTAGTCTCTGCCCATCTGATCCAGCTATAAGGGGCTCTTTCTACCCCATAGAAAGACTAAGACAAATATAGACTTCCAAGCAGATCTAGGTAACCTCAGCAATCTGCAAACAATGCTATGTGGGAGAGTGGAGTAGATTCACCTTCTAATTCGAAGAAAGAAAAAAGAATATTCAGGGTTGGGAGGCCATGCTGGGGCAGGGTGGAGGCCATGCTGGGGCAGGGTGGGAGGCCATGCTGGGGCAGGGTGGGAGGCCATACTGATGCAGGGTATATGGTGTGGTATGGAGTCGGGAGAGCCAGAGCATTCCCCCATTCAATCTTGAAGCCAGGAGACCTTTGGGGAGATTCAACTCTTGGACTGGCCTGAAGCCCCATAGGCAGTGTGGGGACCTGTGAAAGTGGGCTCCTGCCCAGAATGACAGGACTTGCCAGTGCCACACAAACCCCATACAGCACTCACCGCGGCCCTGACAGTTGCAAACTCCACTATGGCGTTGCCTGCCTTCTTTCTGGAAAGCACCAGGTTGAGAACCTCTCCATACTGTGGAGTCAAGAGCACACAGTAAGTACAGCTGGACACACAACACGGCCCGCTATGCTACAGTCCAACCTGGAATCCGTTAGGACTAGGGACCCAGAGAGGCTAAGCTGGAGAGAGCTGTTTTCATTTCCTAAGGTATACAGGACAGCAACGGGGAGACAGGCAGAGCACCAAGACCTAGGCTAGCACACAGCAGCGCCGTCTCAACTTCTGGAAGAGGAAAAAGGAGGGGGTGTGCCTTCCAGACAGCCACCTCCGCTCCCCAACACATGCAGCTAAAGCCTGAGCTTTAAGGAAAGGGTTAGGTGCAGGCAGGGCAGGAGAGCTGGCCAGAGTCTCTAGACAGAAAGAAAAGAGTAGGTAGCAACATCTCTACTCAGGGCATTTGAGCTCTGGCCTGGACAGGGAGCGGCAGATGTCAGCAGAATCCACCTTCTGCAAAAGTCTCAGGAGGACATCTCTGGAGTAGCCACCTTGGGATTCATCCTCCTTCTCGCACCTCCACTTCAGCTGAAAGACAACATGACCATCAGCCACACCAGGCTCTACGAGTGAACTCTGGTGATTTAGACTATCCAAGCTATGCCTCCTGTGGAAACTGAGAGGGAGGCAGCCTGATTAATCTTAGGAACACTTTGTATACTCTAAGAACCCATCTCAAGCAGGCGGTGATGGCACAGCCTTTAATCCCAGCACTCAGAGACAGCAACAGGCAGATCTATGGGTATGAGGCCAGCCTGGTCTACAGAGTGAGTTTCAGGACAGCCAGGGCTGTTACACAGAGAAACCCTGTCTCAGGAAAAGAGAAAGGAAGGAAGGAGAGAGGGAGGGAGGGAGGGAGGGAGAGAGGGAGGGAGGGAGGGAGGGAGGAAGGAAGGAAGGAAGGAAGGAAGGAAGGAAGAAAAAGAGCCCATCTCAACTGGAAGAGATGGTTCATCAGTTAAGAGCGATTCCTGAACTTCCAAAGGTCCAGAGTTCAATTCCCAACAACTACATGTGGCTCACAACCATCTGTAATGAGATACAGCGCCCTCTTTGGGCCCACAGGGATACAGTGTATCAGACAGAACACTGTATACATGATAAATCTTAAACAAACAAACAAGAAAACCAAAAAGGACCCATCTCAGAGGGCTCCTGAGGATGTCTTGCCCACACCAGCCAACGTTCCAGCCACCTGGTGTGACAAGCTCTGAGGCTCAGTCAGGGTCCAGGCCCAGGATGGTGGAAGGATGGAGAAGTGGCGCCAGTTTCCCACAGGAAAGCACCTGTTCTTGCCGAGATCCACAGTGCTGTGACCACAGACCCTACAGACTCACCTTTAGCTTGGGGGTTCCTTTGCCTTCAGTATTTTCTGTTCTTCCTAAAAATATTGGAAAAAGAAGAAAACTAAAATTTCAGAGTCCTAGGTCCCCCAAAGGAGAGGCAGAAGCTGACCTCCTGAAGGTCACCTGTCAGCTCTCTCAGATGGAAAGCTGAGAAACGCATCTTAAGAGCCAGAGGCAGACATAGGCCATTCAGCTTCACTGAGGCCAAGTACCCCAAGGCCTCTCCCCTCAAGATCTACTCCAAAACAGAGCTGCCAATGCTTGGGACTGAGACTTGATTTTTTGTTTGTTTGTTTTTTGGGTCTTTTTTTCTAGACAAGGTTTTTCTGTGTAACAGTCCTGCCTGCCCTGGAACTCGGTTTGGAGACCAGGCTGGCCTTGAACTTCACTGAGATCCGCCTGCCTCTGCCTCCCAAGTGCTGGGATTATAGGCGGGGGCCACCACCCGCCTGGGACAGGGACTTGTAAAAAGCACAGAGGCTCCCACAAGAGGTATCACAGTAGGATGCTGTGGACCACCACGGGGTTGTCAGGGTCCCGGCAGGCGGGAGCTCTACAGCCACTCCATGAACGATGCGCATCGGCCCTGGAGGAGACACAGGCGAGTGTCTACTCTCACCTCGCAGCCTCTGCTCCCGGTCCTGGCGGATCTGCTCCTGGACCAGCCTTTGCTGCTCCTCCAACTGACGGGAACCCTCTTCTCGAAGGCGTGCAATCTGCAGAGCAGGGGGCGGAGGGGGGATAATTCTGCGCAGATCCAGTGCCAGGCTGGCTCACCTTGTGAAGGTCCCTGGGAGGGTCCGCCTGCAAGCTAGGGCTCAGCAACCTGTGGGCGGGACAGAGCACCAAGCTCCCACAGGAGACAACCTGTGGGCGGGACAGAGCACCAAGCTCCCACAGGAGACAAGAGTGAGCTCACCCACACAACAGCCACTCAGGCCCCTCCCACTCCAGCCGCAGTGACCCCAGGCCAATGGGTCTGGTGCTCACCTCCTGTTCTAGCGCTGTGGTACTCCGGCTCTCCTCCTCTTCCTCACTCCCCTGGGCCTGGGCCTGCCGCTCCCGGGCCTCCAAGTCTAGGCACAAGGGTTGAACGGTTCAATTTCTAGTCTGCATGTCTACTATGGCCTGTGCCCACCCCAACTCTGGCTGCTTCCCCCACACCTCAAACAGGATGTGCATCATACGGCAACCCTGCCCATCTCTTGTGCCCACACACCCCAGTTACTTTACACTGCAAAGGGGCATACGCAGAAGAGATATGGCTCTGGAAGAGGAAAACAGCTCATACCGACCAAGCAGGTTCTCTCCACAAAGCAGGCAGAGCACAGGTGGTGCTGTGTCAGCAGCCCGGGGCCTGATATCAAAGGTGCCGTGGGTGGAGCTGCCAGCCTGTGTCACTGTGGTTTGGCACCACAGCCTGAGCGGGGCTGTGCCTCAGCTGTGATTTATTTCCCATTGCTGATCTCCAGTTCTCACTGTCTCCCTTCCTCACTCACCGTGGCCCCAGCTCCAGTGCCTCTCCTCAGGCAGCCTGTGCTGGTATACTCCCACACCCCAAGCCCTGTGCCAGCCAGCTGTGTGACAAACCCTCCTCTCAGGCCCAGGGCTCACCGCTTTCCTCTCTGCCTATTCTTTATTACCTGGAACGTGCGTCCCTCTGCCTCCCATCCCGTGTTTGCCCTTGTCCGTGCTAAGGAAGTGTTATACCACTAAGCTAGGCCCTAGCCCATTTATTTGTTTGGTAAATTCATTAAAAGTGATTGAACTGGGGCTGGTGAGATGACGCAGAATCTCTAGCCGTCAGTGTGAAGATTTCAACTCCTGAGCCCCATGGAAGGGGAGAACTGGCTCCTGCAAGTTGTCTTCTGACCCACAAGTGCTCCACGGTGGGTGTGTGCAGACCCACACTAAATGAACAGATATAAAACAAACCCTAGAAACTGAGCTGTGATTGGCTCTCTTGAGCTCTGGGGACGCTTCCCAGAGTGGAGGCTTAGCAGGAAGCAGCTGGAATGAGCGGGAAAGAGCCAGCTTGGACTGGAGATGAGAACACTGACTCACCCACCTAACTCAGAGTGAGTTCCCACTCAGGCAAGCTTCTGAATTCTAAAAAATATTTATTTCTAGCAACACCTCTGAGCTAAAAAAAAAAAAAAAAAAAAAGAATTTATTGTTACTTTTCTGTGTGTGTTTTGTCCGCCTGCACTGGTACCTGCAGAAGTCAGAGGAGAGGATTAGATCCCTGGAACTGGAGTTACAGATGGTTGTGAGCTAAGAAAGTGAACCCAGGTCCTCTGCCTGAGCAATAAGTGCCTAACCACTGAGCTACGTCTCCAGCCCTAACTCTAACTCATAACTGGTGTCATTCCTGAGAGTGCCTTTAGCAAACCTGGGCAAAGGCTCCAAGAAGAAAGCTGGGGGACACTAATGACAAGGGCCAAGGGAAGCCGGAGGCCAGCCAGCCTGACAAGGTCACCCACCTAGCTTCACTTTCTTCCTTTTCTCATCAAGTCGCTGGGTCCTCTCTGCTGCCTGCTTCTTGGCTCTCCTCACCTTGTCATACGCGGCCTGGAAAATGGAACAGCGCAGCAGAGTCAGTCAGTAAGAAAGGAAAGCTCCGGCATCTTCCCGGCCCAGGACTCAATCCAGAGTTAGCAGCAGGTACTGTACCACGCAGAGGGGCGAGGGCTCTCACATCCTGGTGCTACTTAAGCCAGCCCCCACGGGACTGGGGACACCTAGACGGCAGCGGTCTCTAACCACTGGGCACAGTTCAGTGAAGGAGGTACCACTTACCCTGGCTGCAGCATCGGTCAGTACCTCCAAGGCCTGGGAAAGCTGGTGGAAGAGTTCAGCTACACACGACAAAAAAGCAAGAGGAGAGAACAAAATGGAGCTGGGTAGTGACAATGGAATCCTTAAAAAGCCCAGGTCAGCACGACCGGCCAACAGTGAGCAGGAAGTGTATCCACAATCGGCTGGACACCCCATCA